GACCATTCTTTCTATCAGTACACCATATGCAGGTATGCAGATCTTTATTCCCTGAATGCTTAAGGTGAACTTACTGTGTTTCATTCTCTTTAATTTATTATTTTCCAATGCAGCCCTAGTTGGTGCTCTCAATGACCGCATATTACTCGCTGTTCCCACTGACATAAGTCCGAAGCAGAAAAAAGGGATTGAAATCAAGAGCTGTCTCGTTGGGTTACTTGAACCGCTTTTAATTGGATTTTCTACAATGCAACAAACATTTGAGCAGAAGATGGACCTTTCTGAAATCTTGTATCAAATAACAACGAGGTTTTCCTTCTGTTCTCTTACACGTTGTGTTTTTGCTACATATATAACATCAAATACTTTGAAATAGGTATATATATTCACTCCATTCCGATCCTAACTAGCTCAATATTTTGTTTGATATATTGGTTACACAGGTTTGATAGCTTGCGGATTACTCCACGATCTCTTGATATTCTAAGTAGAAGCCCTCCAGTATGTGGACATCTTGCTGTATCACTAGCTCAAGCAGGCCCGCAGTTCAACCAGGTGAGCCGAATTTTATGAAAACTTATGACCGAACTCTCTTCTTGCGTTATCTGGTTTACTAATGGCTCTGAACAAAATCTAGGTATTACGCTGTACATATGCAATCAAGGCTCTTCAGTTCTCCACCGCTTTGTCAGTTTTGAAGGACGAGTTCTTGCGTTCTAGAGACTATCCAAAATGTCCTCCAACATCTCTTTTGTTCCAGAGGTTCCGGCATCTTGGATATGCCTGTATCAAGTAAGTTAACCTTCTTTACAGGGCGAATATATATAGTTAGTTAGTTATTGTTGTATGGTCTATTTAACCCCATTTGCTGTTGAACTACTCTGTGGGAGTTTAGTGCATCTTAAGTGTATGCGTCCCCAATCACCATCTATATTTAGTTGGAACTTAGATAGAACACTTCTTGATCCGTGTTCGCATAGTCTTCTCTGCTCTAGTTTCTTACAGAAATGTATTTGTCAAACGTTCAAACATATTGTACTGTAGATATGGCCAATTTGATATCGCAAAGGAAACTTTTGAAGTAATAGCCGACTATGAGAGCCTGCTAGATCTTTTCATATGCCACCTCAACCCTAGTGCTATGCGTCGTCTTGCCCAGAAACTGGAAGAAGAAAGTGGAGATCCTGAGTTGAGACGATACTGTGAAAGAATTTTACGAGTGCGGTCTACAGGATGGACCCAGGGGATTTTTGCTAATTTCGCAGCAGAGAGTATGGTTCCCAAAGGACCAGAATGGGGTGGTGGCAACTGGGAAATCAAGACTCCAACCGACATGAAGAGCATACCTCGATGGGAGCTAGCTGGGGAAGTAATGCCATATATGAAGAATGATGATGGAACCATCCCTTCAATAATAGCTGATCATATCGGTGTTTACTTGGGCTGCGTCAAAGGCAGAGTTAATGTGGTGGAAATAAAAGAAGACAGCTTAATTTCTAAACCTGGAGGACTTCTTAGTTCGTTGGTTAAACCTGTTTCATATAAACCATTGGCACTTCCTGCTGGTGAGTCCAGTTCCTTGATGGGTTTAGAATCTCTTGGAAAACAAACCGTGGCTGATGAACAGGCGAAGGCTGCTGAGGAATTCAAGAAAACAATGTACGGTGCTGCTGGTGATGGCAGCAGCAGTGACGAGGAAGGTGTACCAAAAGCTAAGAAGCTCCAAATCAGAATACGAGAGAAGCCAACATCTACAACTGTGGACGTCAATAAGCTCAAAGAAGCTACTAGAACGTTTAAACTCGGAGATGGGCTTGGCCTACCAATGAGTAGAACGAAATCAATTAGTGCTGGATCCCAGGACTTGGGTGAAATGTTAAGCCAGCCTTCTTCTTCTTCAACAACAACTGCTCCGGTCTCTGCTTCTGCTCCTGTTGATCCTTTCGCAATGAGCTCATGGACTCAGCCACCTCAACCAGTGTCCCAACCAGCTCCATCTGGTACAGGAGTTGTAGCTGGACAGATACCAGAAGATTTTTTCCAAAACACAATCCCATCTGTTGAGATTGCCAAGACATTGCTTCCTCCTGGCACTTATCTCTCGAAAATGGACCAAATCGCTCGAGCTGCAGAAGCTGCAAAGAGTGCTCCAAATCAAGCGAATAATACTACTCAGCCTGACATTGGTCTTCCTGATGGTGGCGTTCCTCCAGCAACTCAACAACCAAATGTTCCATACCAGACTGTTGGATTTCCTGACGGCGGTGTTCCTCCACAGATTCCTGGTCAGACTCAAGGGCCACCACAGGCTCCTGCTTATTCACAGCCTCTTGATCTTAGTGTTCTTGGAGTTCCAAATACAGATTCTGGAAAGCCTCCTGGGCAGCAGCCTACATCTCCTGCTTCAGTTCGTCCTGGAGAGGTGAAATCTGCATTTCATTTCTTCTAGTTTTTTATGGAATTACATTTAGTCTCACCGTTGCTTGTTCCCCTCAGGTTCCACGTGGAGCTCCGGCGCCGATATGTTTCAAGACTGGGCTTGCTCATCTGGAACAAAACCAGCTTCCAGATGCACTCTCTTGCTTTGATGAAGCATTCTTGGCTCTGGCTAAGGACCAATCACGTGGAGCTGATATCAAAGCTCAAGCCACAATCTGTGCTCAGTACAAGATAGCCGTTACTCTCCTTCGGGTAAACTTATCTCTCTCATTTATCTCACCCTCTCTTTTATCCAAAAAAAAAAAAAAATCCCACCCTCTCTTTGAAACATTGGTGTTGCCCTCTAAATTAGAGAAAAAAAAACATTTTTATTAAGATCTTTAAAACATGTTTTAAGCTTCCAAGATTTCAGACCTGGTCCTGTCTATGAGACAAAATCATCTTATCAGTTACTTCTTTCGTTTCTCTCCCTACTTGCAGGAAATCTTGAGGCTACAAAGAGTCCAAGGCGCAAGCGCGTTAAGCGCAAAGGACGAAATGGCGAGACTCTCAAGGCATCTAGCTTCACTGCCACTACTAGCAAAGCACCGAATAAACTGCATAAGGACAGCAATCAAAAGAAACATGGAAGTCCAAAACTATGGCTACTCAAAGCAGATGCTGGAGCTGCTTCTCTCAAAGGCACCAGCTAGCAAGCAAGAAGAATTAAGAGGACTAGTTGATCTCTGTCTCCAAAGAGGCATGTCTAACAAATCTATCGACCCGCTTGAAGATCCGTCTCAGTTATGCTCAGCTACACTCAGCAGGTTATCGACCATTGGGTATGATGTTTGTGATCTCTGTGGCGCAAAGTTTGCTGCGCTTTCGTCTCCAGGTTGTATCATTTGTGGTATGGGAAGCATTAAACGGTCTGATGCACTTGCTGGACCAGCGCCTGTGTCTACACCGTTTGGCTAGTGGTTACTGACATGGTTACGGTTGGTTTTTAATTTACATTAAGCAAGTTTCGCACTAGTTATTACATATATATGAGTACATTTGATTTTGTGGGGTTTGGTTTCGATTTATTCGTGTATGTTGATTTGATTAATTTGTATCGCTATACTTGTTTCTTGTGTAATTGGTAACGTTACTTTTGTTTTCGTGGTCAGCTAAAACAACTTAGGTTACGATTGGCTCATACCCTAGGACTAGAAATCAAGTAAAGGGATACAAGTTAATCAATTCATAAAGCGTATAAGAAACCTAGGACTAGAAAGAAGGTAGGTCAATTATTGCATTGGTTCAGGCCCTTTCATAGAGCTTCTCTCTAAGACTCTAACCATCGTTAGCATTCATCATCACTCTATTGATCTTGTTATTGTACTTTGCTTGTGAGAGATTTTTCATTCCTTAAGTTAGTGCTCTTTGTAACTTCCTACATGTCTCTTTGTAATAGCTTTAAACATTGTCAAATGTTCATTAAAGAGTAGTAAGGTACTTAGAAAAGAAAAGAAAGTACGTCCACTCCACATGACAAACACACCGTGTCGTTATTGCTTTTGTAGTTGTCTCATATTCTACTCTTTAGCGACCAACTCAATCACATCCCTCAAAATAAGAAGAATATTCCTATTTGTGGATGGATATATTCTAATTAGGCAGCTTTTTGGTGCACTACAAGAACATGGCTACAAGCCTACAATAATGATTAATTTTCAAATCTTGGTTTAAATTATTGTAGTCTTTTTAAGATGTCTTTTCAGTCTCCCATGGTGAGGTTACTGCACAACAGCACAAGCACTATCAATAAACCAAGCAGAAATTTTGTACAAGTACATATCACATATGATGCACCAACTTCTCGGCCACGACAACAAAAATTAACAAAATAACTGCAAATTTAGAAATCAGGTTTAGGCCTCAAGATACATAGCTCATTTTTACTACAAATGTGTTGTTTTCTTAAACCAAAATGGTATATACTTTCAAAAGAAATTTAGAAATGAGTTATTTACTACAAATGTGTTGTTTTCTTTAACCAACCGTCAGTGTGTTTAAACTTCATGGTGTAAACACACTAACACAATAGATGGACCCTGTTAAAACTCCTATTTAATTGTGTTAAACTAAATATGGGCGTGCCAAATGCTACAGTATCTTCTAACGTTCATTGTTTTCTAATATCACAGCAATCAAAAGCCCTCATACACGTACCGTTTATCTACCATGGTGGCAAAAATATTATTCTATACCAACATTACGTAAGATATAACAAGTATTAAAGATTCATTATCAATTATAATACCAATATGCTAGTTACAAAAAAAAAAAATATATATATATATATATATCAAAATGCTGTAAGAAACTACAATATCAACATATAAAACGCATACAATACCAAGAGAATCTAGATGTTAAGAAACATTATTAACCTATTTTTATTCATAATCTAGAATTATAAATTTATCTTCTTCTGTTTCGTCTAATTATGAATCTATCAAAATATTAATAATCGTCTAGCAAATTTATAAACATATCGTAAGATAATGTATAAAATGAAGATATATAGTTTTCTTCTAAGCTCTAGGCTCATCGTTCTTGACAGCATGACCAATTCCAGGGCTGTGTCCTGGTGTCGTAGGCTTGAAGTCATCTCCTTTCTTATGACCCATACCAGGACTGTTTCCCGGAAAAGTAGGTGCGAAGTCATCCGTAGTTCCTGTTTTGAAATGATATTCATGACCGTTCATTTTCTCAAACATATTCCCTTCCGTGGGGTTGAAGTCATCTTTAAACCCTTTAACATTTACATGCGCTCTCCTATGCCCCACCCCTGGACTGTTTCCTGGAGCAGTGGGTGCAAAATCGTCTGTAACCCCGGTTTTGAAAGTATCTTTACCGTTAATTTTATGCAACTTTCTTCCTTCCGTGGGTTTGAAGTCACCTTGAAAACCTTCAAAATTTGCATTACCTTTTTTATGTCCTATGCCAGGTTTGTTTCCTGGAGAAGCAGGTGCTAACTGACCCATAGATATAGCTTTGACATGATCTTGGCCGATCAACTTTCTTGCTTCAGTGGTGATGGGTGGTTGGTCAAATATTATTGAGATGATGATAGTTGTCACAATGATAGCAAACAGCTTCATGTTTTCTTTTGAAGGAACTAGAACTAAGGTTTAGGAGTTTGTATTTATGAGTAGTTGTGCTGAAAATATGGAGTAGAGTGCCCCAAAGATATTGTATTTATAGGGCCATGAGATTGGTTATGCTGCCGTTCGCTGAATTTAAAATGTGTGGACAATGACCACATTGATTGTGTTTGGACCGTCTATTTATCAACTTAAGAATAGTGATTTACATCATAAAGTATTCGTATAATAATTCCAAGACCGTCTTATATTTGTTTGTAGGGCTCTGTTGTAAAACGAAAGAATATTCAAATATATTTAGTTTCATGCATTGTAGCAAGCTGTAGTAAAATAGTAATGTTCGACATTTTGAATGTTACAATCGAATTTTATCTCAAACTAGGTGTTTTGCCCGCACTTGCGGACATAATTCTCTTATGAATATTTATGAGTTGATATTTTATTAATTTAAAAATCAGCATAATAAGTTTATACAAATATTTTACTTAATTTATAATTATAATTTGTTATATCTTAATTTTAAATTTTGTAATAGAAAATATATTTTCAAGATAACAATATATTGCATAAGTTATTTATTTTCTAAAAATATAATATAATAAAAAAATTTAATTATATAATAATTATATAAGCTTATAGAAATTATGACATATAATTAAAATTACCTAAAATCATGGAGAACTTAATGAATCATCAAATTCACTTCTTAAATATTTTTTCTTGAGTGATGATTTATATTTAATTAATAATAGATAATTTTCTATTTTACTTTTAAATTATATAATATAAAAATATATTTTCAAGATAACAACATAATACATAAGAATTACCTTATTTTCTAAAAGTATAATATTATTAGTGTAAATTAATTTCAATTATAGAATAACTAAAACTTTTTATATCTTAATTTTAAATTTCTAATAGAAAATTATATTTTCAAGACAGCGACTTAATAAATAAGAAGTATCTTATTTTCTAAAAATCTAATACTATTAATATAAATTTGTTTTAAATATATATTAAATTATATATAAAAATATATAATTATGATAAATTATCAAAATTAACTAAAATTATTGAAAATATGACAAATCAGCAAACATCAAATTCACTTCTTAAATAATATTATAGATTTTTACATGTTAATTTTAAAATTTATAATAGAAAATATTTTTTCAAGATAACATCATAATACACAAGAATTAACTTATTTTCTAAAATATCATATTATTAATAGAATTTAGGTTTAATTATATATTCAATAATAAACAAAATTATAGCAATTCTGATAAATGATCAAAAGTACCTAGGATCATGGAGACAAATCAACAAATTCACTTTTCAAATAATTGTTTTGATGATTTATATTTAATTATTAATAATATAATTTTGTATCTTAATTTTAAGTTTTATAATAGGAAAATATATTTTCAACATAACAACATAATACATAATAATTATCTTATTTTAGAAAAATATTAAATTATTAATATAAATTCGTTTTAGTTATATTTAAATAATAAATTAATAATATAAATTCGTTTTAGATAAACATAATAGTGTTTAGATCTTAATTTAAAATTTAAGTTTTATATATAAAAATATATTTCAAGATAACAACATAATTCACAAGAATTATCTTATTTACTAAAAATATGATATATTCATAGAAATTTGTTTTATCTATAAATAAAATATATATAATATTAAAAATATGATAAATAAACAAAATTACCTAAACTTATGGAGAACATAACAACTAAGCAATTTTACTTTCTAAATAATAGTATAGATTGTTGAAATAATATAACAAAAGTAAATTTATCATCTCCTTGATATTTTTTTTTTGTTTAACTATCAGCTAGCTACACAAAATCTTATTATAACAAAAGTAAATTTATAGAAAATAAACGCTTTTTTGTGAGTTCTCCATTCACATAAATATATACAATAATAGATTCATCTTTCCTCTGGAAACAAACAAGTGGGGCACTCGTTCATATTTTGTTGCTCGTGTAAATTAAAATGGAAAAATGCTATAATAGACTATCAATGAACGATGAATATTGCCTGCGTTAAAGGAGATTCCAAAATATTGGTCGATTGCTATTTCTGTTGAAGGTGAAACATACAATACTACAAATGCCGGCCTTAAACCTCTCATAGTGGTCCAATATCGAATGTACAGCACTTACTGCATGCGAAATAAATAAGTATATTTGGTTGCAAATTGTTTTAACAATCTAAAATTAATCGGAACATTTGCAATGACTTCGAAGGCTAAGAAAAGCCGCCCTTTAACAACCACAGAAATGCACTTGAAGCAAGGCTATTTAATTTCACACTAGTTTAAAGCATAGTAGCATACTAACGACTTGACAAAAGATATTCTTACTTGACTTTTCTCCTCTTTTTAAAGTCGAACATAAAATTTGAATAGGATTCTATGCATGTTTGACTATATATTGCATAATGCTACGAATTCAAAACATAGAATACACTTTTGCATCCTAAGCATAAGATGATGTCAGTCACATTCACAGATGCAAGATTTTCCACTCCCCTAATAAAGTAGACCAAAAACGTTAGTAAATGAATCTACGAGATAACCAAAATAAAATTAATTACGATAACTTTTATATAATATGCATTTATACTCTTCAGTACCCTTGTGTCAGGAGAGAAACCGAATGATTTCCATGTTTCTATTCTAGATCGTAAAAATAATATTCTAATTTTGAGTATCTACGCATCAGTAAGGATAAATATATGTTCTATACTTACTTCTATGTGATAAATATTTGAAACTATTTTGTGTCATATATCTGTATAAATATACTAGGCTGTGTATCTATTCAATAGAATCACTCGTATTTATAAAAGAAAGCTGGTGTTTTTATATAAAAGATAACTCGAACAATTATTATTATTATTTGCATAGATCGTACATGGTAATACTGTCGATCCAGCCATAAGGGTTTTTATGAGTTTGACAATGTTTCCAATAAGCGTGGCTTTGCATTGTAACTGAATTGGATTAGTAACCGGGCTGTCGAGTTTGCCTGTCCGACCGTAAGTCCTGATAAAACAAGGTTTTTAATTGAAGCATATATGAACAAAAAAACGCTATACTTTTTTTTTGTGCAACAAAAAAAAACGGCTATATTAGAATTAGAACCACTTGATTGACTTATTATATGTTTGTGCATGTTATTATTTACCTTTTCAACCCACATGTGTCTGACAACGCCGCCATGCTTCTAAAGAATATACCATTTCCAAATTAGATAACAATGACAAAATACACAAATTAAAAGAGGGAATCAAAATAAACCAAAATATAGAAAAGCAAAGTGGTCAATAGATTCACTAGAATAAAGTCAATGGCACCATCACCATCAACAAAACCACCATCTGGCCCCCCTACCAGGCTACCAGTCACTCACCACTCACTTTTTTGTTTTTCATTTTCACCGAACCCTTTCTGCATATCTAGGACATAACGACATATTAACGGTATATCAGAATAAGAGTTTTAATCAACATTTATATTTATATCTTTAAAACAAATTAAAGGTTGGTTTTGAGGTAGAAGCATTACACTGTTTTGAGAAGTATGCGCAGCCATATAAAATATATAAGACCCATTTGATATTGCGAAATTAAAGGTGATAAAATACACTGAGATGACGACATGTTGAAAAGCGAAAGCAAGCTTTATAATTTGGTTGGTTCCTGCACACAGGGAACTTCCACGAAGGATGGTTTCGCAGCCCAAACTTCTATTTTTTTTTTTAACAACTTAAATTTATTAATTATAATGTAAAAATACATATGCAATACATAAGAGAGTAAATACAACTAATAGCATAATGAAGATGAAGAGGAAACAACACTAGACAAAATGAATCAACTTGTAAATATGCTTTTCCTCCAAGGTGTTTTTTTTGATAGAGTATCAACTCTATCCATTCTTCCGAGAGCTTTAAATTTGCATCGGATCATAAACACCGCTTTCTTTTGTTGTATTATGTTGATCTTATCCCAGTCTGGAACTATAGATATTTTTTGGTTTTGAATCAAATATATTGATTCAACCGCAAAAACTAAAAACTGAGATAACCAACTTTCAACGATTGTAAGAACATCGCCATACAACCAAAAGACTTCATCTTCTATTTTGGAAGATCGTTTTTTCCATGGTGGTTTCCATAGCTTCAACGATAAAGCAGATTTATCTTTATTTCGATACCAAATATACTGTATCGAAATATAGATTTGAAAAAAATCTTCATCTTCTAAAGTTGATCTTCTCATCTTGAACTTCTGATGTAATTGCTTCTTAAAAGTTCGGAATTTTCCTGGATCCCAAATTCTTCGGCCGAGGCACCATCTATAGAGATGAATAAGAAAGATTGCATCGCAGTGGCCTTTTACCACCACGGAGATGGAAGATGTCGTATTGAACTTGCTGTAAGACTGTCCTGTACCAACACCGTAAATGTATTCTAATAACAAGTTGCGTTTGACATGTTGTTGACGAGGAATAAACGGATCTCAAATCCTGAAAAATCAGATTCTGATTCATAATCATCATCATCAAGACGCAGCCCTCCACAACCACCACGGTTACGAGAAAAAGAAATGACAAAACATTATGTTTTTGTCGTTGGAGAGAAGCCATACTCATGCCTATTTTCATCACTGAAATCACCATAATGACGTTTGGATTGTAAATGCATCACCAGAAACACTAGTTGTTACTTTGATCAGGGCCAAATTTTGGCCAGTGGGGAGGAGAAAAAGATCGCACTTACGATCACCATTAACCGTCACGAGGACGGTTTTTCCTCTTTTGTTTTGCATCCCAAACTTCTATTTATGCAAATACTCAAGTGTTTTTCTTTATTTTTTATCTATTTTAATCGTAACATTGAAAACTAAAAACGATAATGTGCCTCAGAAGAGGTTTTGAGGTCGTGGGATCAGGATTCTCTTTACTACACAACGATAAAATTAATTATGTTATTCAAAAATGAATATTGGAACAAAACCACAAATGTTCGATTAACGTATTTGTGACTCTGTGAATCATATATGTGTCTGTTAATTATAATGGATTCATTTCTAAATGTGGTTTAGTTTCATAACACATTTCATTTGTAATGCGTAATTTATTACTGATTAATCATAGAAAAAGGTCAATATTCCATTACAATTTTAGCGGTTCGAAGGCATTCACTCTTGCTTTTCTCTCCCTTTTTGGTCTTGCTATAAAAGCATTTTTCAGATAGTTGTTAGGGAAATTGAAGCTTGGTTAGTTTCTCCCTGCCTTAAAGTGAATCTTATAAATGAAAATGGAGACATTACTTTCTCTGATTAATCAATTGCACGATAATAGTTTTATCTTTAGATATCTTCTTCACAAAAATAAAGAATAGGACCATAATTACAGAATATATGTAACTCCAAATTATGCCGACAAAAATGATCATATTTCTGTGATATGATTATAATACAATCGTCACCACCTCCCATATGGAAGTTGACAAAGTTGTTAATCAGGACCGGTTATGTAATAAAACTCACGAAATTGATGCTTAAAAAAGGGATGAGAATTATATTTGTCATGAACTCAAACAAATATATCAGCACCATAGTTTTAAATTTTCTTTTCGTCGACGAGAAAGGCCCAACATGAATAATATGAAGACCACAAAAGTAGTATGTTTCTAAACAGAAAACGGGACTTTTGATGGTTTTCGTGGGACTATTTTAAAGGCCCGCTTCATATGTGAAAGGCGCAACATGAAGTCTAGGAAGACTGTTGAGAATGAATTTTCACATAACAACTTAAATAAACTTCTGAAAGTTATCAACCTCTACAAGCAATACATTTTCCAGTCCCTCTACAGCCAATTGAGAATATTAAAGAAAAAGAAACAAAATCATCACTGTCCTATATGTAAAAGATCAACAAGTAGTTGACAAAAAAACTAGAAATGTGAAAGTTTCAAAACAAGAAGACCCTTACATTTGCATTTTGCAAAACCGTTAGATGAATGTAGTAGAGAGAGTCTTTACATAGAAATATGATGTATCAAACCATCTCCAATGGTGCATCATTTTGAAGGAAAACATCAAAATTTGAAGGAAAACCTTCTCTAATAATACATCATTTTAAAAGAAAATTTGAATATGAATAGTATCCCTTCAAATTTAAGGGAATACTATTCATAAACTCATTTTTATTATTAATTTTTTTAGTTACAAATTGACCCTTAATTTTTTATATAGTTTTATTTTATATCTAAAAGATTTAAATATTTGTGTTTTATACTTTGTTGAAATTAATAATATTTTCATTAACACAATTATAAGTTCATATAAATTATTGTCTTTTCTGTTAGAAACTATTTTTTTTTACAAAATAAAAAAATTAGTTAAAATATATAGTTGGGTAACATTTGAAGGTTTTTAAAATACATAGCCTTAAAAAGAAACTAGATTTTTGATCCGCACTTAAAAAGCGCGGATACCATTTTTGTTGTTTTATCTACAGATAGATCAATAAGTTTTTTGCTTTGATGATATAACATGTCACTATCTAATATAACCTTTAAAATTAATACATATTTTAATTTATTATTATCATCAATATCTATGTAAATGTATTGTATGTAATTGTTTAGTTTTACTATGGAAAAATAATATCAATTAACTACGTCTGGTGCTGGGAAGCGGGTCAAAATCACGCTGTCTGATCCGCAAAGAAAACATATTTTATTTGCATCTGTCTCACTTAATTTTATGAGTAAGTTGTGGGACCCACAGATAATTATTAAATAATAAAAATAATTTTTTATTTTTTTTCTAAAAAATAATATTAATTAGTATATTTTTAATTAAATTTTTAATATTTAAAATATAATAATTATTTTTAACGAAATTTAGTATATTTTTGAAAAATGTTTTTTTTTTAAAACAAAATTATTTTTCTATTTTTGCGGATTACCGGGTACCCGCAATTAAAATTTGAACAATTCGCACCATTCCGTATAAAATACACTTGATCCGCAACTTAATTTTTTCAAATCGATCGATCCGTTCCTTGGTGAATCAAACAGGGCGAGACCCGCGGACTAATATCAAAATTCTCATCTATAACTACGCTAACTAAGGTTGATGTGTTTATTTTTAAAGAAATTTCAGAAATAATTAGAAGGTGAATTGAGTCCATTAATATATAGTTTTTAGGCTCAAAAATAAAAGACAAAATTGCCATTGAAAAATTAAATTTGTTAATAAGATTAAAGGTAAATTTGGAAAAAATAAATCATTTATTAAATAGAATGTTTTTGTTTTAATGGTATTGATAATAATAACGATTCTTAATGAAATATATTTGGAATATTCTGTTTTGAAAGAAAAAGTTGAAGACAACTATAGGAGCAAAACTCAAATTCATTTTAACTTTACATCATTTTGAAAAAAAAAAGATGTACATCATTAAGGATACCCTTATTCACACTCTAAAACAGTATACTACATTTCTCTCTCTCTCTTTTTTTTTTTTTTTTTTAACACAACATCTCTCTCATTTACTTTTAATTTTTTAATGCATCAGACAACTAGTAGCAGACCGTCTGGCCGTCAATGTAGATGCTCTTATGGGTGGTGGCATATATTCTGTTTATAGATCAAATATTGGATTGATTAGTTTGCATTGTGTTTTTTATGCGTCTGTAATGTGTATAAAAAAATCGGAGGACAGGCATTGTATGTATATGTATACGTAGGTAAACTTAAATGCGTTTAGTTTTGGGGTTTACTCTAGCTATTTGTTTAGTTTCTTACATATAAGTAGCGTGTCCTCTTGTGCAAGTCCACCATGAAAGCAAACACTAAAATTTTAAGCTTAGAGTGAGGATGATAAGAAAGATTGTTTATTTCATTAATCTAGGGGATTTATGAGCTTGACATTTGTATTTCTACATTTCTACATCATTTTGAGAAAAAAAAAAAAAAAAAAAAATGAGTCAAGACAGTGTCTTTATAAACTCTAAACTTCACATTTCATATTCTATTGAATCACAATTCTCCAGAATGGGCCACAACGTTCGTTTGTACGATCTTGTCCACCAAGCTTCTTTGCTTTTCCTCTGTCTTTGTCATCTTCTGTTATTGAAGCTGATGATGACCGTTGCACATAAATGGGCTTCGTCTTTGTTGTAGTATTGCTGGTCTTTTCATTTATGTAGCATAGGTCGAATTTTTGGACTTCGTCTTTGATGTAGCATTGTTGGTATTGTCAGCTATGTGATGACTAAGAGATGTTCTGCTATTATCGCTTCTCAAATTTGGTGCAAGTGGAATATGAACACCGAGTTTGTAACAAAGCAAAGTAAACGGCCGAATAGGGAGAAATATTGTGAAGATGACCGTTACCAAAAAAAAAAAACAAAAGCACCTAATGACCCAAAGCAACTCTTTCTCGGGCATAATGATAGTGAACCCCAAAGTGTTGTCGTTTTAGCTGCTTCTGCATTTAAATAAATAAGCATTAATCTCTATTTTGAGTAACGAAATTGGTATACACTGTATCAGCTATTTTGATTGGTAACAGTGCTAGAGATTTGTCAAGGCCATAGGCTTTTACTCGATTAGTCATAACGAGATTGGGCTTTATAATAGCTCATTTAAATTTTAGTTAGTCTTTGAGTTCGTAAAATAGCTACTCAAACTATAGAACACAAGAGAAATTTGATCCTATAAATTTGGTCTGTTTTTTACTTTTTTTTCTTTATCTTATGTAGTGATTTATTCTTCCCTTATATCAGCTCTGATACTAACACTATCAACTCTTTCGCAAATCATATATTTTCCTCTGTTCTTATCCTTCACTCTCGAAAAAATGAACAAATTCATATTAAACTGTACTATTTTGTTTTGCATTGTTCTACTTGAAAAATATTGCTCATCTTCCTCTTTTTTTCTTCTATCAATTCCAGTGATAGTTTTTTTACAAGTCATATCTCCTCTTCTTTCTCCTGTGACAATTCTATCAACTCCTCGTGTATGTCTTTCTCGGTGTCAACTTTACTAACTCCTCCTATTTGTCTTTCTCGTGGTGATTAAAGATGGCTTTGATGGTTAAAAAGAGATTTATGAAGCAACGTGTTCAGAGAATCGAGAAGAGAGACGAAATAATAAGAATGTACTATTGCTCTTCCTCTTCTTCATCTACCTCTTCCTTCTTTTTCTTTTCTATTTATTTGTTTAGTAAAGATAGTACATTAGTCAAATTTACGATTATGTCTGGAGAAGAATTTGTTGTCTACTTTTGTTGTAAACTGATACACGTCCCTAAGAAAATCCTTATATAGTTAGTTTCTTAGTTTATCAAATTATAATGGTTATACCTATTATACTAAAAATATTGTTCATTGTCAAAAATCTGACCTAAAAAATTAAATTTCAAATATATTTATTATCCAAAAATATTTTCCATCGGACAAAAAATGATTAAAAATATATAAAAAGAGGAGAACAAAATGAAACACTTTTAAATAACTTTTTACAAAATACGAGAAACTCTAATAGGCAAACCGTTCGGAAAATCAACGAAAGGAAAAGCAAATGGTTGATCATCTTCTGCTAATTCCCAATTAAAATTAAGAACAAGATGATGAATAAACACTGCCATTTCTAGCTTTGCTAACTCTGAACCAGCGCATAGCCTTGGCCCTCCTCCAAACGGCATGAAGTTGTTCCCCCACGTCGAAAAACTACCAGATCCTGACGAAGACGACCCGCACGCTCCGTTGTTTTGCGGCTGCGTAAGTACAACAAACAGTTTTAACGAAACAAGTAGCGCAAAAAAAGTGAAGAAGAACACTGAACACGTGCTTGTTGGCACCACCCCACGTGGGTCATTAATCATCTTACCTTCCCCACTCACTGTTTACATCATGACTCCCATTATTTTTAAAAAAGTAATGCACAAACTTATTATTTTTCTAATTCGCCGATTTGATAATTTAATTAATAGAAAAGTAGGACCGGTCAACGTGGCAGAATCTTACACACGTACAAGTCATCGGGCGTGTGAGATCCGTCAATGCCGTGGTACCATCGTCCGTCAAATCTAATCTACCAAAACTCAACTCTAAATCAACGGTCCAGAGTAGCACCTTATTGTGGGACCCATACTTATATGAGATTAATGCAGTTCCCACGTCATTAAAGACATACCATCCTACTATAATTAATTGTCTTCACGTACACCACCACGTCTCTTCTCTCTTTAATTTTCACATGATTATTTGATTTACATGCTTCAAGTGATTAAATGATACATCATACATGACGTGTTAAGATCTAACTCGGAGAATAAATAAAAGCTTTTGCCAGATTAATGGTTCTCGGATAGTATCTATAGGTAGGTTAGTCAAATGCATATGCACACATGACGTATCAATTCATGCATAGATGAAAACCATATTTTATACACTTATTTATCGAATAATTACCTGTTGCCATCTCCAAGGGTTAAAGAGATTAGGTTCGTCGTAACGAGAATTATCCAAATGTACGGCTGAGATCACTGGTAACACTTTCCACCCACTAGGGATATCGTATCCTATTTTTCCAACATTAAAATACAAATTATTTTATATTTTACAGCCAATAAGATTTGGATATTTCGGATTTTGTATGTAAAGTGTTACCTTTATACCGAACGTCTTTGAGTGCTTTACGATGCAGAAACCTTACTACATTTCCAAGTCGAAGAGTCTCATTAATAACCTACAAAAATTAAATGAAAATTCAGTAACTTCGTTTCTATAAAACTAAGTGAGAATTAAAAAAAAATAATAATAACATACACACTGAGTAAAGTCCATTTTCTTGTAATCATCCCAATTCAATTCTGTCTCTCCGAGCTTCTTCTTCGCCATCGCGATCTCAAGATGCTCTTCCTTCAAAGAGTTGAAATTAAACAAACATAAATAAGTAATAACCGAGAAAAGCATAAGTAACAATTAAATAAACTTTTTCTAAAAAAAAACAATTAAAGAAACTTTGTAATACGTCATACTTATTTATTAGTATTAGTATTATTACCCTAAGTTCTTGAACGGCTTTAGGACAAGCTTGCAAGAAGTAGATAGCTAAAGCAATGGCGACAGAGGAAGTCTCATGTCCAGCAAATAATAAGCTGAGAATAAGATCGAGAATCTGCTCCGTCGATAGATTTGAATGTTTTAAAACCCATCCCAAAAGATCATCATCTGTTCTATGTTTTCTCTCATAATGATGATCACTTTTACTAATCTCTGCTTCATCCTCTGCTTCATCTTCTTCTTTAATCTCTGATTTTCTCTCTTCCATTTTCCTCTCAATAAACTTCAATATCGTCGCTCGTGACTGCATAATTATTTTTATTTAGAATATATTAAACTACTCATAAAAAGTAAAAAATAAAATAAAAGAAACATTACCCATAATGAGAGGCTGTGACTTTACAGGAAAAAAATGTTACAAGTTATTTTAAAATTTTGGTAGGTTTAATTTTAGTGTACCTGAAGAGCTTTACGATAAGCAGTTCCTGGGAGATTGAGAGGAGCAGAGACAACACCTTTCATGAAAGTAACATACTCTTTCTTTAACTGTTCTGTCTCTTCTTCTCCAGGATCCATACTCATTATATGCTTCGCCATTAGATTAAACGTAAACTGCTCAATTTAAGCCCATAAATTAAAAAAGTTAGGATAAAAAGTTTCAGAAACAAAAACTCAATTCAAGCAAAAGAAAAAAAAAACAGAAAAGAACCTTTTTGGCTTCATCTTGAGCAGAGAAAACAGTCTCTTGTTGCCAAGAATCAAGAACGAACAAAGTGTGCCTCTCAACGTCTTTAAGAAGAATTGTTTTGAGACGAGCGTGACTTAGAAAGTTGAGTGAGATACTTCTCATGTCTCTATGCATGTCTCCAACAAGAACAAGCATCGACCATTTCCCAAGAATCCCACCAATACTTCGAGGATAACTACATTCAAAGAGCCTTCCTTCGTTTTGTAATATGAATCTGTTAAGTCCAGCATCAGCTGATACAATCGTTGGTTCTCCAAACAAACTCGATCTGTATATCTTCCCATACCTATACTCAAAACCCTCAACATTAGTAAAAAAAAAAGAAGAGGATGCCCTTGAGTTTTGAGAGATGTATTATTTACTTGGAGATATGTTGTTGCATGAAGTCACCAAGAGTTGTGGCGGTGTATGGTTTGAGATAACCGATGGTCTCGCCTATAAATGGCCAACCGGATTTACCCGGAGGAAGATTGAATCTGTGTCGACTCCTTCTCTTCAAGAGGATCAAGAAGAGGAGAAGAGATAGAAGCGAAGGGAGAAAAAGAAGAGGCAAGAGAGTATGCTCGAACATGGATGAGTTCTTCTCTCTTTATCTCTCTCTTCTCTATGCTTTGCCTTTTTCTTTTCTGAGAGATTGGGAATCGGACCTCTACTGAAAAAGGGAGCTTCTGTTTGTAAGATGGGGTTTTTAAAGAAGTCAGAAAAAAACCTAATTTAATTACCATTGTTATCATGGTCATTAGTTTAATAAAATCTTTGATTAAGCTAACCTAACCAATGAGCTTCCTGGCTTTTGTTCTCCATATTCATTGCTTTTGTTGCCTCGTTATGCTTTAAATCCTTTATTTATAATATTCAAAAAGTGGCAGAAAGCTGCCATGCGAAAATAGTTTAACAGCTATTTTATATGATTAAAGATGTATTCGATTATAATCATATACTAATATATAATGATCTCAACATACACTAGAGTACGAATCTTGATTTCACTGTGGTAGAAAAAAGAAGAAAAAATATCTATTTGTATAATTCCAAAGAATGAAGGTTACCGTACACTAGTGCTAGTATAAAAAACCATTCGTGCTGATATCAAAAAGTACATTAATTATCTTATCAAATGTGAGATTTTTTTATTAATAACCATTCGTGCTGATATTAAAAAAAAAAAACAGTTTTGATAAATGCTCCAGCAGAATCCTAGGAGTCCGGTACGGTGTCTCAATCGGTTAAAACTGAAACTCCAATACTACCCTCAGAAATTTGGAAAGGAAGGACTTCACGAGCAGGGGTAGAACAGTGAAACTGTCAGAAGGACCCCTACACGAGCGTGCGGTCAAAGACAGAGTTATTAGATTATTACCGAACTGGACAGTCAAACCCGTAGACTTTTGGCGTTGTCTCTTTTTCCCTCAAGGCACAAACAAAACATTTTTTTTTCCACAAACAAAACATTCATTTACGTAAGTTTTCTTCAAAAATAAAATTTTTAAAATCTGAATCGCACCGTGAAATATTAGTTACTCGGGTGCGACTGGTATTATATAACGTAAAATGATGAGAATTTAAAAGTGAAAAAATGAGGTAAGAGTAAAACAAAACACAGAGTAAAAGTTTCTCTCCATGAAATAGTAGTGTAATAGTTTACTCCACTTTCAACCTCTTTTAACGTTAATGGGTGGATAATAAATTTCACCTGACTGGTTAAAACATAAAGTAATTGAGTTGAAATGTTATTTACTCCACTTTTATATCGCCAGAAAAACCTTCTAGTCACATTCGGTACTATGATAAAATATACTCCCCGCAGATGCAAATAATTTTTATTTGTTTTTGTACAAGCGGATACAAATAATTGATATTTTATTTTCTTATATAAAAAAAACTGATATTCTAACTTTAATTTTTGTATTTTATTTTAAAACTAAAACCTAATTTAAAGTTTAAAATATGAGTGATAGAACTTTGTTGGAAAAAAACTAACAAAACTAGCAAATCATTGTAGATATTTAGTTTAAAATTGTTAATTAGTATGTGCAAATCATAGAACACCAATATTTAAATATATATCTACTTACCTTCTCCATTTTAGTTATTTATTTTCATAGTAGATAAAATTAAATATTTATAAATATCTAACATTACGACATAATATATAGTATTGTCAATATATATAACTATTTAAAATACATTAAATGAAACATAAAATACAAAATTTATAAATATGTATGATTTACATAATAATGCGATCAAATGAAATTGTAATATTCCTATACTTAAATAAAAGTGTAATAATACTTTAAGCGATTTTGTATATAAATAACAGTAGCATTTCCTTCATAATTTTTTTTTATTTGCAGAAAGAATTGACTATCACAGTTGTAGGAATCGTCATTATGGCAACAAGGACATATGGTACTCCCTTTAGGTTTAAGAGATTGATGTTTTATGATTTGTACACATATTAATAAAAATTTAAAATATATCTTGAAGAGTAAGGTAGCGTAAAGATCTTCATGGCATTGCAATATATGCCTAGTGTTTTCTCATATTTACAGTTTTGTATAGGAATCGGAAGATGAAACTGTACACGTGTACATATAGAAATGTATTTTGAACTATCACTTTTTTCAAAAAAAAAAAGTACTACCACATTTCTAATTAAAAATATGGTAAAAGTGTTACACATTAAAGTCGCTTCTTAATAATTCCAACCAACAATAAATATGTTAACGATACATTAAAGAAAGGAATTTAATAGTTGCAGATGGTTACACGCTTGTAGAGGTCTTCGAAACTGTAACCCAAAATATCTATGCATTTAGAGATCATTGAATGGAATCAAAGAAAAAAAATCAACAAACGACAAAATGTGATTTTTACTGACCAAACACAAGAATGAGATTAAAGAGATTGCAATATACGGTTTCATCATTATTACCACGAGTGTACATTACTTAAAATTTATTCACGACATCACACGACAACAGTATATCATACTAAGAGGTTTGCTATGTGACTCACATTTATACTTCTTAATCTAGTGTTACCTAACCAAGGTCTGCTCACAAATTTTAGAGACCATGTATTAAAAAAATTTAGTCTTTTACAAATAAAACATTTGACAAAAAACAGTTGGTAAACTATTTATTTAATATATATATATATATTTATGATTTATGACATTTTTGAAAGTAATATTTATAATATATAAAACTAAATTTACCTAAAAATTTGTTTACACATATTTTGTTTATAAAAATCATGTTGGTTTTACAAACGATATCATTATTTTATGAATAGAGAGAATTAAAGTATATTATACTCTTTTATCTTATTTTATAATTTACTTAATTTTCTGTTTATCTTATTTTATAACATTCTCTTTATCTTATTTAATAATATACTTATTTTTCCTATTATAGAAGATGTTTTACAAGTCTTAAGTAAAAATTAAGGGGTTTACTGAATTGGGGAACTGAGATGATTTCATCACTCAAATACTCTCTTACTGTAAATAGCATTTGAATTAACTTTAAATTCAAAGTTGTTAGATTAATCATTTGTAAAAATACTTCAAAATTTTAGTTTATTGTAAATATGAATTTCTTCAATAAAAATTTAATACATAATTTCCTGGGGTTTGTAAATTATTTTACAGTTCACAATAATCAAGTAGTCTTAAAAAATATCATTTTAAAAATAGCAAAAGTCTCAATGTAATCAACTCAAGTTAAAAATGTATTTTTTAATACTTAAAATTTCGAAAAAATATATTTTAAAATCATATCATATATCAATCAATATCTCCATCAAAATCTCAAATCTAGTTAAATTAACTAAATTACACCGATCTGAAATTTCCTAAATATATTATCCCTAATACAATAAATCTATGTAAATTTTTATAATTAATAGATTTATTATTAAATATCATAACTCACTATTAAAAATACTGTTTTAACAAAATTCTTATACAACAAAAAATATAATTGTCTATTATATATTCGTCGGTTTATTTAAAACTAAAAATATTCATTATCAATATTTAAATACGGTAATATTATATTTCAGATTTATAAATATACACTTTGAGAAGTTTATAATATTATCTTCAACTTTTTGTGATTTTATGTGAATCGTCATATTTTCCAAATATAAATCAATTTCACATAAGCAAAATAAAAAGAAAGACAAAGTAAATTATTAACAAAAGACGTAAAAATAACCAGAAGTTGGGAAGTCCTATACAAATATTAATATTCTATTGTAAATATTTATCAGTATCGTTATTTTAGATCCAAAAAATCGTCACCCTAAAAATTTGACGAATATTTAGAAAATCCAAATAGGGTCGATATTGATTGTGAGAGAAAGCTGGCAGGGACCATTATTCCACACCCTTTTGGTTGTCATCTCTTATTCTCCTTGATAATTATTCACATACTCCATGGGTCACTACTCTTTCGTTTATTATTTTTGCTTTTTAATATTCTTGTTTAATAATATGTACGTTTTTTCTCTCTTTTTAAATTTGCTGATTAGCACAAGAATCATAATCATGATTGGACTGATCGAAAATGGATATTCACACTACATCTGTATATTTTATTAAACATTAGATTTGAAATCAAAACTTCAGATAAATTAGTAAATTACGAAATAAATGATGCATGAAAGATGTAATTATGATCCGGCATATAGCGATATGCTCTAACCAAAAGTCGATCGAATTTTATTTACAGACTGATCTCTTTTCTTTGGATTAATATGAGAGGTATAACATATCTATAGAAAAGATCGGATAAATTTTTAAGAAGAAATATAATCCCTGGATAAATCATTTTATCGGATATTCAAATAAGTTTTAAAGCATCACTTTATATCCGTATGACCAGACATATTTAATAGTATAAAAGTATTCCAAATTCGTTTCGAGTAATTAGCTGGAATTCACCTATTAATGAACCCATATTTAATAGTATAAAAGTATACACACAGATTGATCGTTACTAAATGCAATGCAGCCAAAATGTCGTAGCTGATCAAATATTCATCCTAACCAATATCCAACAGACCACACCAACATGACAAAAATCCGAAAGCTACTATGTAAGCGGTTTCAAATTTTAACCACTAGCTATTTCCATGTATTTGTGAATTTTCTCTACGTTTGTTCATTAATATATGCCTACATGTGAATATACGAAAGCTACTATGTATGCGGTTACAAATTTTAACCTCTAACTATTTCCATGTATTTGTGAATTTTATCTACGTTCGTTCATTAATATATGCATACATGTGAATTCTGAATATACGAACACGTATATTTATCTTCATGGATCATGGTATTGACTTCTTTCAGATAAAAATATCTGTTTTTCAGATTTTCTTTTTTACTTATATATATTTTGTAAACACTTTTTTTTTACTTATATAAAAGAGGGAATTAGTTACTTTTACCACTGGGTCCACTGCCTGCCTAGATTAAAAATAATCTTAAGGTAAATTTTAAAATTGCTGCCTTTCTCAATAATTTATAACTAGAGCTTGACTGTGCAGATGTTTGTGTTTGTTTATATATTTTATGTATATATATAGTTTTTTTATTTATGTTATTTTTCAGATACCTCAAATGTAAAGTTTGTTTG